CTAATAAGTTGATTGATTGCTCTATTGTTTTTGACAATGCATTGGGGCATAAGTTGCTCCACAGATTCATGGAATTAAATTTGGTTCCTTTTCAGAGATAGTTTTTTAGGAGGGAGAGTGAATAAACAAGGCAATCATAGAGAGGGACAGGCATTCTCTGATGTTCTGATCAGGTCTTCATTTTAGGCAAGCACTGTGAACCTGAGTTTTGGTGGTGTAACCTTTATATGTGTTCATGCCTCTCCTCCAGATATAGTGTCAGAGCCTAGCTCACATGCGGGCCCACTCCTCTCATAGAGATTTTTGTTTTCTGTTTCCTTTCCCTAGTTGCGTTGGGTTTTCACAATTCCCTTCAGGATATGGGCTTTGTTGTCCTTCTTCCTGCAGATTAAGTCTTTGCTTTCTAAGGGAAATTAGGTCTGGTTGGGATTTCAACAGTGACTGCCGTCTCCCTCTCTGAACTGAAACAATAGGGCAAGTTTTATCAGAGTTTCTTTGACCTTCCTTGAGAACACCTAGTGGAGTTTCTAGAGTAAAGCCCCTCAGGGACTTCAAATTCTCATGCTAGCCCTCACCCAGTCTTTAGAAATTCATTAGCAATTTTTAACTAAATTTTCTTACTGTCCTACATGGTGTTTGGTGGTTTTTATTCCAAATAAACAAATGTTTGGGTACTATTTTTCCCTCCGTGAGTCTCTCTCTAGATTCTGGGATAACTGTTTGCCCTGTGGCCTTTGTTCTCTGATGGTCTTAAGAAAATTTGTTTTGTAGTTTATCCAATTTTTTTCCTACTGTAAGTGTGAGTGGCATTCTTTTCAGCTCTCCATTTGCAGTTGAAACCAAAAATTGTCTTGTTCATTTTACAACTTAAATATAACATTTTATTTAAAATCCCTTTGGTTCCCATAAGCAGTAAATTCTTTTGCCCTAGTGATTTGCAGTGGACAGGAAGTTGGGTACTATTCTCAGAAACATTTCTCTCCTTACTCCAGAAAATTTGTTGTGTTTGGGAGTATAGTGAGGGAGAAGTAAAACAGATTTCTATTACTATATGGCTGTCTTTAACAACACTGTCTGTTGGCCCAACAGGTGATAGGTTCAATACTTTGATTGCCAGTCATAAAGCTTTGCATCTGCATTTTTTCCAGTCTTTTTTCCCTTTGGCGTATGGAGAACTTTGTAGGGATAGAAATAAAACTCCATAGCATAACCATCTCAACATCCACATGCACTGTAAGCATAGCTCATGATTTGGTCGCCAAGGCAGTTAAGCTGTCAATTGGCATAAAATACCTTCTTGCCTGGCCGGCATGGCTCAGTGGCTGAGAATTGCGAGTTTGATTTTCCCCTCAGGGCACATGCCAGGGTTGAGGGCTCCATCCCCAGCAAAGGGTATGCAGGAGGCAACCAATCGATGTTGATGTTTCTCTCTCATCAGTGTTTCCATCTCTCTCTCTCTTTCTTCTTCTCTCTCTAAAATAAATAAAAACATATTTAAAAAATAAAATAAAATGCCTTGTTAAGGCGTTAATGGTGGAGGAAGCAATGTTTTACTCTTTAAGTCTGTCATCTGAAGAACTATTACCACTATTCTGACATCCTAAAGAATTGATTGGGTAAAAGGTGAACATAAAATTCAAATCCTTGGATTTAGGAAATCAAACTAGTTAAGGATGATCAGCTTAGAGCCAAATAAACTGAGGTTCCAACCTAGGCTTTTCCCCTTAGGTATGTCACCTTACATAAATCACATCCTCTTTGAGCATCAGTTCAGTCACCTATATAGAGGGTATAATAACACTTCTTTCAAAATTGCTTGTCAGAATTAAAAGAGATAGAAATATAAAAAAAACAGACTATAAACATCAGTGATTTATATCACTTCTAGACCAGGGTGTAGAAAAATGAGTAGGAGATCTCTATGTATTCTTTTTCTCTGCTGTGGCGGTATCATAATTAGTCTGAATCTCTGGGAAACTAGGGGGAGAAGAACCTCTTCAGTTCCAATTCTTATGAAGTTTGAGAAATAAACCTTTGTTGTGTTAAGCCACTGATGTTTTAGGGTTAGTAGCTATCCTAGCATATACTTAGCCTAACTTGACAAATGCACCCAAAGGTCTTCAGAGTTAAGCAACAGAATCACTGGAATGTTTGTTGAAATATGTATTATATGTGGTAAAACTATACTGAGGGCAGGAAATAGTGGAGATTATGATGGTAAGAGGGAGCTACTCAATTATCATATCAGAAAGTAAATACGTAATGACTGAAATTAACAAGTCAAGAAAGAGCAGTTGCAAGTCATACACCTGATAAAGGACTTGTATTGAGAATAAGCAAAGAACTCTTACAACTCATCAATAACAAAACAACCTACCCAATTTTAAAATGGGTAAAGGATTTGAATAGACAATTCTCCAATGAAGATGTCCAGATAGTCAATATGCACATAAGGAGATGCTCAACATCATTAGCCATTAGGGAAAGATAAATCAAAACCATAATGGGATTCCATTTCATACCCACTAAGATGGCTGTAGTAGAAATTACAGACAATGGCAAGTGTTGGTGAGGATGTGGAGAAATTAGAACCTTTGTACACTACTGATGGGATTGTCAAATGCCACAGTTGCTTTTGGAAAACAATTTGACAGTTCCTCAAAAAGTTAAACACAGAGTTACTACATGACCTAGCAATTTCACACACAGAATAAATCCTAAGATTTCTCATCACACAGTATCTGTATGAAGTGATGAATGTGAATTAAACTTATTGTGGTAATCATTTCACAGTATATGTAAGTCTACCCATTGTGCTGTGAGCTTTAAAATTATATAATGATGTATGTCAATTATATCTCAATAAAACTGGAAACAAAATTTTGTTCAAAAAAAGAAAATATTAGCTTTGCTTCTTCCAACAAATTACTAACTAGAGGGTCAAATACTACACATTTGTGTGTTTTTTAAACCAGACATAAAACAAATAAATTACATTTAGAATATATCTTCATTAGCATGCTCTGAGGTTATCTACATAATAAACAAAAGCAGAACCATCATTTCTGTACTTGTAAATTTTATATTTTGACTGAATAGTTTATTTTAAAGGGCAAAAAAAGTACATGAATGTTCAGTACTGATACATGCTACAACATGGATAAACCTTGAAAACATTATGCTGTGTGAAAGAAGTCAGATACAAAAGGCCATATATTGTATGATTCCTTTTATATGAAATGTCTAGAATAAGCAAATCCACAGAAACAGAAAGTAGATCAGTGTTTGCCAGATGCTGGGGGGGAGGGGGAAGATGGAATGCAGACACCAGTATGTGCTAATGGGCATGGGTTTTTTTGTGTGTGTTTTCAAGGTGATGAAAATACCCTGGAACTAGATAATTGTGATGGTTTCAGAACTCTGTTAATATAATAAAAACCACTGACTTGTATGCTTTGAGGGTGTACTATTCTGAGTGTGAATTTTGTGGTATGTGAATTACACTTTGATGAAGCTGTTTAAAAAAGAAATAGCAGCCTAGGCATATGATTCAGAAACACGGAGGCAAATATAAGAAATAATCCAAAACATTTACAGTAGTTGTCTCTGGAGAGTGGGAATGTGGAATGGCAAGGCAGACCACAGTTTTTAATAATAAATTCTTTTGCACTATTGGATTTTAAAATTTTGTACATGCATCCATTTGTTAAAAAGTAAAATGAGCTAAAAACAAAGGACACACACAGACATTGTGAGGACAGGTCAAAAGAGATTCTGATACATTGGATCTGAGGTGGGAGCCAAGATTCTGCATTTTCAAGCTAGGTGATTTGGGTGCAGGTAATCTGCTAGTAGCTAGAAAACTTGGAGAAGCACAACCATACCCAGTGTTAAAATCATTTAGCAATGAATCTCGATATAATCTGCTGCGTTCCTTTTGGAGTGGCAAGTTTCAGTTGTTAAAGATGAAATTACATGCTTAAGGCTATGTATTCAATCAAGCCAAAGACTGGGCCAAGAATTGAGGCCTTCTGACTCCATAATTAATGTATTCACTTTTAAACTTCCATTATGTGTTGTGGTTACCAAAATGAGTAAGATAAATTCTTTGCTTTGAAAAGGGCAAGTCTAGTGGGGTAATTATAATGCCTGAAAATATATTAATAAAGGTTTTACAAAGTATTTTTTTCACATTTCATGTCAGGATTAATAAAACTATAACATGAGAAGAGGGAACCTTCTTCACAGTTAAGTAGGGAACATAGTGGAGATTCAACTCACCAGGGACTCCAGAGAAATCAAAAGGGCTTTGTTACCTTGAGGATTCCAGCCCACCAGGAGCAGTGGGGCCCTTAGGAGGGCGCAGTACCCATAAGAAGAGGAAGGGTGGCCATCAGACATGGTATGTCCCAGGAGAGAGTGGCATCCACCTCTCAGCTGTTTGGACTTATTCTCCAGCAAAGTTGAGAACTTCCTTACCCTCCTCCAAACATCTGACAGGGTTCTGGTCCTGCTAGTGCAGAGGAGAGGTAGGAGCCAGCCCAACACAGCTCACACACAGTATCTCATCTGATCTCCACAACCCTGGAAGGCAAGTTTTATTCCCACTTCAGGATGACAAGACAATGGATCAATAACTGCTTGGTCAATTCCTCCAGCTTCCAGTACCAGAGATAATGTGAGTTTTACACATAATTTCACATCCTGACAACAGGAATTTGAAGTGTCTTCACTACCTTCATAAACTCACTAAACAGTTATTTTGATTATTTGGTATACATTTTTCTACTTTAAAAAATCTTTATTATATTTATTTTATGACAAAGTAATGTATTTTTTAGGGGAAAATGTGCAGATGAGAGAAAGGATAACCTCCTCCATTGTCACAACACAGAGAAAACCATTATTTCTCTTTTCTGTTATTTCTCTATTCCATAAGTTTCCCTGCACATGGATGTATCATGTAACTTTTTTTTCAAAAAATGGGCTGATGCTGTTTATGCAGTTCTGAAAACTGTTTATTATTATTTGTACAATGTACCATGAACATATTTTCCATGCACATAGGTGAAAATCCCCTACTAAAACAGAGAGCACTATATAGTTGGATCAAAAGGGTGCTGGTAACAAGGGTGACACCTAATGCAAAGTATCAGCATAAAGTTAAAGCACATCGCCTGGCAAATGCCTGCCAGGGAAAGCAGAGTTGGCAATATTTCCATCAGAGAAATCGGATTTAAAGGCCAATGTCATTAAACATATGGACCATCTTCTAAGTCTTTCTGGCCCCTACCTCCGCCCCTCATTCCCCTGACACCCCGTTGGCCCCTTGGGAAGAATGGATCCTGTACATCTCTTTGCATCCAATGAAAACCACCCGTTTTCTGTTTTTTCCTTAGCTCTTCCTGAGCCCTTGACACATCTCCACATTCTCTCATCATCTCCTCACTGCCCAAATGCCTTTCCTGTAAGTCCTCCTGATAGTCCTTGGGGGAATCTTCTGTCCCCCTGTCCGTTTTTCGCTTTGCTTTCCGGGGCACATAATCTTCAGCCGGGCGCTTTTCAGCAGCCCGCAGCTGGCTCTCTGGCTTGGCCTGGGGCTCTGGCTTGTCCTCAACGCGTGTTTTTCCCTCACCTTCAGACTTGCTCTGCTTTTCTTGTTTCCCCTCATCATTTGGCTGTCCCTTGTCCTGGCACTTTTCCTCCTGCCCTGGCTTCCCCTTCACTTCTGAATTTTCTTCCTCATCTGACTTTCCTTCATCTTCTGTATCTACTTCATTTTCTTGCTTTCCCTCACTTTCCAGCTTTCCTTCATTTTCGTGGTAGAGTTTTTCCATGTTGAGATGTCCCCTCCTTTGCTTGTCCTAGGACGCAAACAGGAGACAAAGGAGACTGAGTGCAGATTCTGAGAGTACTTGCCTCCATGATACAGGGGTTTCCTCACACGATCTCAGCTTCCAGGTGCACTCCCATCCATACATTTTTTTCCTTTCCTTCCCACTCCACACGTTTGTGTGAGCCAACTTTGCAGAAACTTCCATGGGTGCTTCTCCCCAGCATTTAAGTGGAGTGTGCTAAGAAGTATGTAAGAACAGATGTGTCCCTGAACTTTGCTCTGGCCTTGGCTATGCCCATAACAATTTTAACTGGGTAGCCTCCAACTTGCACTGACCTGCAAGAATCCTGGCTGGTTTCTTTTTTTCTCTTGCCAGCAATTACAAGACTTACAGATCTACAGACACAACAGCAATGACCTGTTCTCAGATTTCAGGGCTACTCTAGTATCCTCAAGAGGCTTCATAGATACCACACCTCCATCTCTTACTTCCTTGTTTTTCCCCACTATCCTCATCAGCCATGTTTCCTTAGGGTCCTGACAGAGGCCATGTATTCTGAGACTGCAATAGGAAAACTTGGAGGAGAGGGGACAGGTAGTGGCCTCCTCAACTTCTGCTCAGGCTTAAATCACTCCCAGTCCCAGAGGTTCTGGGGTAGTTGCCCTCTCCCACTGACCTGCGCTGGTCCTGCAGGTCTTCCCTTTTCTTGTCTGGGTTGGTGCTTGCAACCACAGACCTGAAGACCTATAAAGAGAGAGAAGACATATGGTGAATGAGGGATTAAGAAGTGAATGACAAGCAACAGGGATAGTGACTCTTTTTGGACTCTAGTTGTCAAAACTTTCCCAACTCCTGTCATCCATTGCCCTTTTTCCTTGCACCTCTGATTCCCCTCTACAGTCGTCCTTAACAGCCTCCATTTTCCTACCACTGGGCAATGGCAGAGAAAAATTATTTCCAAAGTGTTTCTATGTTTCTGAATGCTCCTCCCAAAATTCTATCTCACTTTTTCTTGCACAAAAATGAGTGAGGTTGAGAACAGTGGTGTTCAGAAAGCAGATTCTGCTGTGCTCAGGTCTCTGCCTTCCAAATTCCCTACCCCAGGGTGCCCAGGTAGCACAAAGCCCATCACTTCTCTAAAAAAGGTGATGGTAGAGTCAGGGGGCAGAGTAGAAATATCCAGAGCATTCCTGCCACTCCCCTCCTCAACATACACAGAAAGACCACATTTTCCTATAATGCAAGAGACAAATTAGTTCTAAATTCAGTAAAATTTTTGATCTATGTTGCCTCCTCATAAGCCTCCCTAGTTCAGACGCTACTTCTCCGCAATAGGGAGCTGGTCTCTAGACTGAATCTTTATCACTCTCCTAGGCAGCA